TCTGGCTGCATTGCATTGGCTGCCCATTCGGTTCCGCGTTGACTTCAAAGTTCTGACGCTTACGTTTAAAGCCCTACATGGTTTAGGGCCTCGATACTTGGGGGAACGCTTACTCCCACCCAGATCTACCCGTGTCACCCATGCGAGTCAGGAGGTGAGGCCGAAGAGCCTGACGCCGAGGGAGGCCCAGAAGGAAAAAACAAGAATCTTTGGGAAAAATTTTACTCTATCTTTTAATTTATGTAAACTTTTGTGATGTGGTATATTATATGTTTATTTTTTTTAAGTGTATGTTGTAAGCCGCCTAGAGTGGTCACAATTGACTAGATAGGCGGGATATAAATGAAATAAATAAATAAATAAATGATAAAAACAAGGAAGTCATTTTTTCAGAGAAAAATGTTAGATATTTACAGGTAGAATATCATTGTACTGATGGTGGACACAGCAAAAGGAGTATGATGAGAAACACTGAGTGTCCAGAGTTAGTATTCATGTGCTAAAAATTTACAGATGTATAATCCACAGTATGGACAATAGGACACATTGTATCACTCTTGTTGGAAGACATGGGTTTAACTGTCATAAAATTCATTTGTCCCACCTAGACTACTTCTGTTTTCCACCAGTATTACATGTACCACTGCAGAGAACCACAGCTCTATAGGAACAACTAGAACCCCTTGTGTCTCTTTGTATTCCATACGCCTAGATGAGTTTATGCAGGTAATTTCATTCTCAGGCTATCAGAAGACACCTGTATTCTCTCCTTATAACATGTATTCATAAAGGGAGGCAGCAAAAGAGAACAATTCATAATAAGCACCATTCTGAGAAGAAAGGGGTAAGTAGCTCCTACCCACTATTGACTTACAGTTATTCATCCTACTCTAGCTGCTTTTTGTTTAAAGGAGAAAAGAAGCAAAGGTCAAAATCCAATAGTGCTGGCAAGAGATACAGTAGATCCTAATGAACCTTGTTATTGTTTTTATGATAAACTGTATGCATGCATGCATAAATAAATAAAAAAATAAAGGTCTTGTATTATAATCCCATTTATTCCTCCCCCCTCAAGGATTGTCAATAAAAGTTTGTTAAAAATCCAATAATATGCTTCCATACCCAACAGGGTACTTCTGCATCCAAAGCCAATTAAGTTTGGGCATTCCTTCCATCCCAGTGCAATCTTCATGCTGCCAAAGACCTATCCCAGAGGGTTAACCATAATTCTATGCAACATGTCACTGGAGGTCTGAGTTTGTCAAACCAATTATTATTGTGTTAGCAATTTGTTGTAAAATATGTAACCATTGATACTGTGTGTGTTTGTGTATCTGATAAAAACAGGATTTCAGAATGCCTTTTTTATTTCTTCCAACCTTAGAAGTAAAAAACTTTAGCCAACTGTCGAAAGATTTATCTGCCAAATGATTGCCAAGTTATACTTCAACATGGAAGTAAACAAGTTTGCTGAAAAATGTAGGAAGTCCTTTAAAGTCTAAGGAATTTTTCCTTAAATTTGCTATGCAAATATGGGTATCACAGTGATTTATATAATCGGTGATTTATATAATTGCTGAATTCAAGTTTTCAGTTCAAAATAATGCTTTATAGTCTTTACATAAAGGCATGTAAAATGATGTCTTATTGTTATGAATGAGCATTGCCAGGGGACATTCCTTTGAAACTGGTAATCTTTAGTAATAGGATTCAAATATTCAAGCTGATAGCTGTAAAGCCACATAACAGTGAGATCACAAATGTTAATGCAGTATTGTAATTAAAGAACAAACCCCCCTTAATCTGAGCATCAGGACAAAAACTAAGAAGAGTAAAGGATACTGAGTTTAGTTACCGAAGTCAGAAATTACTGTGTGAATTTGGTGATACTAGTAACATACTTCTGAGAGCTCTTTTTAGAAGAAATACTTGCGGAAGGTTGTTGTTTGAGAAGCAGCTTGGTCAGACTCTTCTCTTTAATAAAAAGTGAAGCACACAGTGCAATGTTACTGGTAAATATGGCTCATTAATAGATTTTGCAAACTCCTTATACTTCCTCCATTTGCAATAACACTTTCTAGTGGATTTCTTTCTAGATTCCCTAACAACCCTTGTTAATGTGGGAGAATTCCCCATGCTGTCAACTTTAACATCTCCATGTCTGGGTGACAAAGCTGCCTGCTGTGACAAGTCAAAGTATATGGGATAACAGTCTCCACCGTCATTAGAAGCACTGCTACAAACCATGACTGTAATGGCCACCAAGAGGGTTAATAGTTTTTAGTCCTTCAAATCAGAAATAAAGTTCCCAGGACTGAATTTCAGCTCTGTGCTTTCCCATTTCTTCATTATTTCTTGTTCCCATTACCACTTCTATTCTCAGTGCATTGTATTCTCAGTGGGCAGATTTCAGGTTTTTTGGATCTACCTTTTTACTACACCTTCAAGAGTCATGAACCAAAACCGGCTACAGAACACCTATGCCTAGATTTTTTTTTAAAAGAGTGCCTCTGAATATATTCTCAGTCTAGGAATTTGTTCTTAGTTTCAGAACACAACTGAGCTCATTGTCTTTCCACATCTAAATACCCTAATATATATCTAAACCGTTCTGTGTTTCAGGAATCAGATCTAATGGAAATAATTTTGCTCCTGCGATTTTTTTAACACTTGGAAGTGGAAAAATAAACCTTGTTGATTACACAATAATTTACTATTATTTTAGCATGTGTTCTACCTTCTTGATTGGAATCAACTTTATCAAGTGCTATCAGGTGAAGAGGGCTCTAGTCCAAAAAAGCTTCTCCTGCAATAAAACTTCACTTAAATATGCAATATGATTCTTGGGTGTTTTTGCTGCATGAGAGCCATCCCAGTACCCTTCTAGAAACTGACACGATGCAAGTAACTAAAATAATGGGCCAAGCATATCCTACAAATATCTATGATTAGAAGAGGGGATTCCTTAAGTGCTAAGAACATCAGGTTGTCATAGCAGGAACTTTTCACACTCCCCCCAGTTTGTAAATTAGCCTGCTTGGCCACTGTAGGAAGCTGGATGCTAGATTCAGAATATGGAAAGTTACTTTAGTACTTCTTTACAGTTATACCACTATGCCTCCTGAATGCAGTAGGTTATTGGTATAGTTACCACTTCAATAATATTCAAAATATATCTATTTACTATTTTTATTCAAATTAATTAAATAGTTAATTTTTAAATACCATCAGACTGATACGAACCAGTGTCCTAGAGTAAACATGGAACTAGATAGTGATGGCATATCCTTTTTAGCTATATGTGTAACTCAAAGGTAGCAAAAATTACAATTACAACCGCAATGTTAAAATCATAATGGAACTTAATTTTGTTTTAGTTATGCAAAATGAACTAATTACATGCAACTTGCTATGTATAACTAGTGACTTCCAACCTATAGTTAGAGTAAATGGAGCACTGGTTTTATCCAAGATCCCTTAAACATTTTCAAGTATCTGTTACATTATTTTCGTAATATCTTGGCTTCTTCAAAAATATTTCATGCATGTAACCCCTTGATGCAGCATAACATGGATACAACATAACTGAGCATAGCATAACTAAGAACAATAACATACTTTTTGTTTTACAAATTGTAAAATAAATATCTATGCTACTTAATGCTAAGTATATCTTTAAAGGATTCATTGTATCTTACATTTTAGTACATAATTACAGGAAAATCTGGCAGAAACAACTGTACTGATGTGAATAAAATTAATTAACTTAATAAAATCAATTAACTTACATGGATAGTTCTTTATAATGGCTCATTTCAGCAGCAGATTTCTGGAACTTGAGTTCCATTGTCTCTACTTGACTTGTTAAATCTGAAATGAGAAACTACTATCATTACTATCATCACTGTCATTATTAGTTCCAACAAGAGCTCGGAAGTAACTGGTTAGAAAGTCATATTCAGACTTTTTTCAGAAAGAAATAAATATGTCCCATTATAATTAGCAACATATAACTACAATTCTTTTGCAGTATAATTGTGATTTTTAGTTACTTTTATAGTTATGGGGTATAGCGCCACCAAATAGTGAAAGAGGAATTATCACATGCTTCAAGTATTGGCATATGATTTACCTTGTGCTTTGTTGTGGATGCTGAGGACATATGGAGAATGTGTTTTGTACCAGGGGCCGGTAACACACAGCATTCCTATTTCTAAAAACAAAAACTTCCACCTTAAATTATTTGTTACAGAAGAATTATTTGTTTAAAATTGTAATTATAATAAAAATTTGCTACAATTGTAGCTACAATATAATTAGCTAAAATATAATTGTAACTAATTGATTTTGAACCTTGAAAATATAATAGTAACTAATTATTTTTAAATCTTGAAAATATTATGGTAGTTGATTATTTTTCAAAAGTAACATAATACATCCTGGTTTTGTCTTGCTTTCTACCCCACAGCTCCCAAGGTACTTCAAACATCTTACACCAGATATCTTTTTACAGTGTGATTTGTGTATTAACAAATAGTTATGATGATCTAGCTTGGTTATTTAGTAAATATAGAGTCCTGTGAAATATAAACCTGTTAAGACTTTATAAATGGGGTAGGCAGCTTCCAAAGACTGGGGCTGTAGCAACTGAGTCAAGTCCTGGAAGTGAGAACTGGTGTTTCAAGAACACATTGGTTAACAGTAAGAATCAGGAAGAATCTTTCTAAATTTATTTTCTTGCTCTCTTATTTCAAATAAATGTAAAAACTGTATGTGTTTTAAAAATTCTTTTGAGACAAAGTACAGATTGATACTACATTCCAATAAACCCAGAGTAGCACCCAATTCATAAATTTCCTCTTGTGATCTCCTATCCTCAGCAAAGACCGATCTTTCTACCCTTCATCAGTTGTCACTTGACAGCAATCATTCCATCCAGCTGTGGTGATGATGAAGAGAAGGAATGCAGGCAGGACTACTACCATCACCTCTGCTAAGAGACCTGCAGCTACTCATTCCTTTTCCCCTTAACGATTTTCCATTTCAGCTGGATATTCTACAAACTGTGTAACATTAAGAACTGATGGATCCTGCCCCTCTGAAATCCCTTCCTAACCTGTCCTGTATGTGTGTATGTGCATAGTATCTTTTATATCATAAGCCTAAGTGTCACAGCTATTTTTTTTTCAGTGTGTAAGCTCTTCTATGGAATCATAGAAAAGTGAAGTTGGAAGGGGCCTACAAGGTCATCAAGGCCAACCCCCTGATCAGTGCAGGAATACAATCAAAGCATATCTGTCAGGTGATTATCTAAGTTTTTCTTGAATGCTTCCACTGTTGGAGCACTCACCAACTCCTGAGGTAACTGGTTCCACTGTTGTACTGCTCTAACAGTTAGGAAGTTTTTCCTGATATTCAACCGAAATCTGGCTTCCTTTAATGTGAGCCCATTGTTGTGTGTCTTGCACTTTGGGATGATTGAGAACAGGTCTTGCCCCTCCTCTATATGAGAGCCTTTCAAATATTTGAAAAGTGCTATCATATCACCCCTCATTCTTCTTTTTTCACGGCTAAACCTGCCCAATTCTTTCAGCCTTTCCTCGTAAGGCTTGGTTTCCAGTCCCCTGATCATCCTGGTCACCCTCCTCTGAACATGTTCCAATTTGTCAGCATCCTTCTTGAAGTGTGGTGTCCAGAACTGGACACAATACTCAAGATGAGGCCTAACCAGTGCTGAATAGAGGGGGACCAGCACCTCATGGGATTTGGAAACTACACTTCCATTAATGTAGCCTAAAATAGCATTTGCCTTTTTCGTAGCCACATAGCATGTTCCAATTTGTCAGCATCCTTCTTGAAGTGTGGTGTCCAGAACTGGACACAATACTCAAGATGAGGCCTAACCAGTGCTGAATAGAGGGGGACCAGCACCTCATGGGATTTGGAAACTACACTTCCATTAATGTAGCCTAAAATAGCATTTGCCTTTTTCGTAGCCACATAGCACTATTAGCTCATATTCAGCTTGTGATCTATGGCAATTCCAAGATCCTTCTTGCTCGTAGTTTTGCTGAGCCAGGTA